TATAAAACCTCCTGAAATTGAATGATATTAAACATATGATCTTAGCATTTTAGGAGTTTTTGTTTGTTTTTTTTGTTTGTTGTTTGAATTATGGCATTCATCAAAAAGCCACTGAAAGCCCAGAATTGAGGCATGCTGATACACCTACCTATGAAGTGGAAAAAACACTTTTCATAGTGGATTTTTTTTTCTTCCTAGGGAACTGGATTCTCAACATTTCACTCACCTTAGAGAGTTTTGGCAAAAGTTAGCACAGACGTGTTAAATACACACTCAGTTGGCACTGCTTGCGTTCTGCATTTCTGCTGGGAATAAGAAGGTTGTTCAGGACAGCTTTAAAACGGCTTTGGCCAATAAAACCATATTTAGCACTGTAGTGAAAAGTGATTTTTAACATTTAGGAAGGACATAGAAAATAAGATTAACACTTTCAAGCCACAGTGTGTCCAGATAAGGAAAAAGTCACGAAGGAGAAACGTATTTCCTCACAGAGACGGGAGTCCATTAACAATTTCCCTAAACCTATTTTCCCCAAACTATCCGGAATTTGGGGAAAAAAATTAGGAATTAAGGAGTGGGATAGGCCTTTGCTTCTCTTGACCAACTGATCCACTGAATGCCTCTGCAGATGGCTCTGCAGGACACCTTGCTATGCCTTGTCATGGCATAACCTGGGCTAACCTGGGTTAGGCCAAAGTCTCCTCTGCCAAACCCACAGTGTAACTCTAGTAGCCATAGGGGTGGCATTTGTGTCAAAGGCAGGCTGTAGCATAGAATTATAATTTGTAAGGGGAAAATGTTCTCTAGGAGTACAGTTACAACCTGTAAACACTCACAGAATTTTAAATATACATAGAAAAAAATCCCCACTTACGAAACGCAGCAGCATAACTACACTGGTTTGAGAGCAGCAACGCACACCTGAGCTAGGAAAGCTTTGTCACTGACGTTCAGATCCGTTACTCATCCCATCTGGGATTTCCAGACTTCCTAGAAAGCTCCTCTTCTCAACAGCTATGTTGTCATGTTGTGCTCCCTCCCCACCACACAAACATACCTGGCTCTTATCAACTCCACCTTCCCCCTTACTGTATCCTCTATCCCAGAAGAGATCCCACATTCTGTCATCAAAAACAGAACATTTCCAATCTTCGATTATCCAGTTTCTGCACTGAGAAATACCATTTTCAGCAGGCTCTAGGAACCACCTACTGACAATAGGAATACACTGTTATATACAAGCCTTTGGCTTCAGTATCTGAACATTAAGACTTTTATTACATTTTTTAAAATTATCTTTTGCTAGGAACATTTAGAGGAAATGAACAGACACCCCCAAATTGACAGTATTAGAGTTTCAACCCTAACTTTGCCATGGTTGTATTTTTCCTCCCACCCAAGGATATCTTGTAATAAGTTCCAACAACCAACACCACTGACTCACTCATCAGCATCCACCAGCTTAGCAAGGTGTTTTTTCGCCTTGCACCAGAAGCACCATCTTGCCAGCAGCTCTTAAAAGGCATTACTGTGATACACACAGCGTAAGAACCTACAGAGAATCAAAAAAGGAATGACAACAGATATTAAGGCCAAATCGCTATATGCTTTTAAAGATGTCCCGAAGGCAAAGTGAAAGAGTACGTGCACGAGGCTGGCAAAGGCATCACACTCCTCAGTTCCTTAAATGACAGCCCTGCAGTTCTAGGACCTTTCCTAGCCCTGGAGGTTACCCTTGGTTCCAGCATGGACGACTGTAGCAAGGTGACTTTTGGGCTTATGGAAGACAGGGAGATGAAAGTCCAAGAAAGAAAAAATAAATCTTCAAATACCACCATGACATAGCTCTTCCACAGCATAAGTGTGAAAACTGCCATCTGCACTGAAATTCCCTAGAATGGATTTTTCTTCCTGGCCACCAACTATTTATCTGCCATCAAAATATACCAAGATGGAAGGTGTTTGCTATGGAAGAATATTACCCCCACCAGCATAGTAGTAGTTTATTAAAATTTTAGGTTCCCTCTCACATCTGTCTCATTCACTGTAAATCCTTAAAATGCAGAAAGACACCACGTTCCCTACAGGAATTCCTATGAGCTCAGAGAAGTTTCCCAACGCCTCGCACTGGCAGAGCCCAGCAAGATCCCAGGCGGGCTGGGAGTTCAACACAACGGCAGCAGAGCCCACGAGCTACTGCTTAGATCTGCCCTAACAGGCGGGTAGACAACGAGCTCCATGTTCAGGGGACCTTGTCCCGTGGTCAGAGACGCAAGCTTGAAACAAAACAGCTGGTAATCAAAGTCCACTTCAAACTAGTGTGTGCATATATACTTTTATATATATATATATATTTCGATAGGAAAAATACCTGAAGTAGGTGAGAAGATCAAAGTGGACATCAATTGAGAACATGTTCCTTTACTTGCTTTTTTAAAAAAAATCTAAGAATAATTTCCCTTCCCCCTCTCCTCCATTCCTTAAGCCAAATTATAGTACAATTACATAGGAATTACATTGGATGATACCATGTTAACTGAAGGGGTTTTTTTTATTATTTATTTATTTATTTATTTATTATTAACAGTGAGGGTGACAGAGCACTGGAACAGGCTGCCCAGAGAGGTTGTGGAGTCTCCTTCTCTGGAGATCTTCAAACCCGCTTGGACGCAGTCCTGTGCCACGTGCTCTAGGTGACCCTGCGTGTGCAGGGGGGTTGGACTAGATGACCTCTAGAAGGTCCTTTCCAGCCTTAAGCATTCTGTGATTCTATGTTCCCTTCCATCACCTTCCTAGCAATGAATAATGCCCAGGAAAAAAACAAACCAAACCCCAAAACTTCAGCATACCCAACACTCATTTGCCCTGGGTCACAAGCATGATTTGCTTTTTTCTACTTTATGAAGCATCTTTTCTCCAAACAGTACTTTTTCAACTGCATCTTACTTTGTTTCAAATGCCAGATGATGATTGTCTTCTGATCTTCACTGAAGGCTTTTTATAAAGCAGAAAAATTATGAGCTCCAAAATTAATGCATGAGCATGGTGCAAAATACTACTGACAGCAGCAACCCCACATCATTACAGGCCACTCAACCTTCCCTCTTCCAGCTCCCCAAAGAACAGGATAGAGCTGCCAACAAAAGACCTTCTCAAATAGTTTGAGTAGTTGCTTATACCTGGCAGAAGGAAGTTTCCACAACTGAGATTACTAAGACAAGCACACATTCCTGAAAGACTCATCGTCCTGAACAGGACAGATGAACTATGCTATATATGCTTTGCAGCAACGCAAAGTAAGGGCAGGAAGGAAAATTTTTCATGGACATATTCAGGATGATGGATGGAAGTATTTTATTCCAATGTGGCAGCATTCATTTAGTCTTTGTAAAAGTATTCCAAGAGAGGCTTCCTACAGGTGTATTTTTAATCAAATTCATTTCACACAGCATATTTGTAGAAGAGAACAGTATGTACATTTCGGACCAACACTGCTAATTTTACGCCTTAGTATTTCCACTTGCATTTGCATTTACAGGCACTTTTGTTTAATTAGCACTAGCCTCAAAAAAGTCTAGCCAATCTAATCCCCCTCATGCCATGCAAAAGCTAGAGAAAAAAAATTCAGTTTGTTCTGAAAGCCTGAAAAACTCCTGCCCTGAGCACAGTGCCAAGCACATTGCTTAACTGGATTCAAACTGTTACTCCAAATTGCAGTGTGGTTGATTAAAATGCATCTACTACCAATTCATGGAGATGACAGCAGTTTTGTTCTCTGATGATGCAAAACAGAATTAAATAAATAATAAAAAGCCTTTTATCTGCCTTTTAAGAAAGAAAAAAAAAAATCACTACAACAATTTAAGAGTGCAAAGTCCCTGATCCCTAATCTCTCTCCCCAAAAAATAAAGCAAGAGAACCACAGCTATCTAACAAGATGAGGCAGGGACTGAGGAAGAGGTTGAGAAGCAACCCAGGAAGCAAGTGGCCCATGAAGAGGCACGAAAGCAACCCCCAAAAATACTTACACAATAAGAAAATGAGCTACTTTCCCCCAGCATTCATGCCACGTCCAGCACTGCAGCTCATAGGAAATGTTCACAAGCCCCTCTATCGAGGCTGTTTGTGAAGCCTCCCATGCAAACGCTCAGCCTGGAGCTCTCCACTGCTCCACTATCGTGAGATTTTAATTTGAAAATAGGCGAATGGTCTCCTTCACCCAAACGCTCTGCACCAGCTTCCAGCACTGCCCGTGCCTTGCAAAGCAGCACTTGCAGCAACAATTTAGCAGCCGCTTTGCTGGGCTAATGAAAGTGTATCTTGGCTAGTGAAAACAGACCCAAACAAATCCGCCAAGTCGAGGCCTGTTGTGTAATGGGGAAGTTTAATTAAGGCCACACATTACAGCTGTAAACGCTCTCTTATATAATAAGGCCTAAATGAAACTGAACCTAATCAAAGTTACAATTCCTTCATTAGCAAATTACAAACAAGAGCGCGCAGCTGACACACCGGCTCTGATTATCACAACTAATTGCCTCGTTGTTGCAAAGCAGCCCGCGACCACGTTCAGATGTCCGCCTGCGACAGCAAATTAGGGCCGCGTCAGGCTATTGCGGCGATCACAAGGGGCTCTTGTGCAGCGAGCCCATTTCCCCCTGTCGGCTGGCGGCGACCGGCCCAATCAAAGCGCTCGCTACAAAGGGCGGCTTTGAAGCCGGCGCAGCCTAGAAACGCGCTCCATATGCAGGCCGGCAGACTGCACTTCATTAGGCCTGTTGTCACATTTTCCCTCTTCTTATTCTAATGATCCCATTTTAATACACACAGGAACCTCTCCTAATTGATGTCAAGTGAGTGACTTCCACATTCATCAGCAGAGCACATCAAACAAGCCCGGGCGCACAGGCCCAGCGCTGGCGCGCTCAAGACCTGAGGTGTCTCCCCCAACTAGGGAAAGCAAAAAATACATGTATAGACACGGCTGTATTGTAGCATACCTGTTTAATTGGGATTGCACGGCCGCTTCCAATGCTATCCGTTCTGCTCTCCAGGACCTTCTTGTCTTTGTCTGGGTCACTCCCTTTCCGAGACTGCAGAGCAAAAGAAAGTTTGCACACTGTTAGATATGGCAGTTCACGTAGAACATGCTTTTTCCCCCCATCCCACAGCAATTAAAAATATATATATATATATATATATTTGGACACACTGATACTGCTCTAGGAGGGATGTGAAGAAGCTAGAGGAACCCACATCTGGCCATCTACAATCTAAGACACCGTCTCTGGCCTTCACTGTCCACTTGTTTAAAATAAAATGGCGTTTAGTCTCAGGGAGCTCCAAATTCACTGCCTGAGGACCCAACAGATCAGAAGACATGGTGCTGAAGTTCCTCCTAGCAGGTCCAAAGAAGAATAAAGCCTCTCAGTTCTCCTTAAGGAAACCTAATACATCCCTGTATCTAACTCAATTAATCAATCACATCAAGTGTGACTTGATACTGCTGCCTTGATCACGCTGATTTTAATTTTTTTAAAAAATACTACTTTCAGCTGATTGGAAAGTTTGAACTTTAAGAATTTGGAAGTGACTGATCCTGAATAAAAGTTATCTATATGCAGTGAGGAAAAAAATAAAAAGAAAGAAAGAAAGGAAAATTAATTTTCAGGAACTCAACTGCCTTTGCTTGGCAGGCTCTGCCACAAGAGCTGACTTTGCAGTAGGGACACCCAAGGCTTTCTGCATGAGTTTAGGAAGTTATCCAGAAATTTTAAGATGACATTGAGTTTGTGGTCCATCTTCATAGAAGAATGGACACACGTAATGACGCTGACAGATTTATTTTATTCAAACAAATAAAACAAAAAAAAAATCCAAGCACAGGCCTCTTTAATAACCCAACTGACAAGTGACAACTTTACTCCATTTCTTTTCAATGGGAACATTACTCGCACAATATGAAATATGGGGGTAACCTTTTCGTGTGCTTTTCAAATCCCTCACGCCGTATGCAATAAATATGCTCATGAGGCCTACGGAAAGTTAACAGAAACCCAAGCAACACCAGAGAGGGACTTTGACTTTTCAGAGTAGCTTAGAGAGAGGGTTGAAAGACAGTGAAATTCAGAGCCAGATTAAAACATCCACTCTCCAGATTGTCCCGTTCATTGGGCCAAAGCACAGGGGGAATAGAATTGCCCAGAGCAGTTGCCTCAGGAGGCAAGGGCAAGAAAAGGGGAAGGCACAACCCCACGGAGGAAGACTTCACCTAACACCATCCTGAGCAACACATTTGCGCAGCGGGAAACCTGCGCTTTCGGCAGCTCCGCCGGGAGCAGGCTCCTATCACCAGTTACTATGGTTAGGGGCAAGGAATGACATGCCCGGGAATTAAACAAAGAATAAATGAAAGCAAGCAAAACAAGTGGGAGGGATGAAACCCAGCGCTCGAGATAACTATTGTCCCTCTTCCTTCAAGACGGGTTTCTGAATCTGAAAGTGCCACTTCCCCATAATAAAACACAAAACAAAGCGTCAATAGGGCGAAGCGGCTGGAAGTGACAGATTTTAAAGAAACTCAATGATGGTCGCCAACTCCTTGGGAGGGAAGTTGTCAACTTGAATGTTTCTTTCTATTTGACTTGATTTTTTTCTTTTTTTAAGAAAGGATCCTGTCTCTGAAAAGCTAAACTAAATATCTATGAACTGAATTAGAAAAAAAGAAAACCACATTTTCTATGCCATAAAAAAGTAACTGCATCGGGAAATAACGCGCTGCACACAGAAAGGAAGTAAATACATACAAAACGTTGTCAAGTGCTGAGAGTACAGAGACCCGAGAGTTTGCTAGCTAAGTTGTGAAAGCTGCTTGCAATCACAGCACGCAGAGATTTTTCAAGAGGAAAATGCTATCAGGCTCCAGTGTTTATTGGAGCAAACTGCAACAGCAGCACCGTTCTATAGGGGAACAGGAGATTTTGGTCAGGACTAGACCCTGGTACCATCAGACCAGACAATGAAAATATAAGAATACTGAACCTCTATTAGATCCTGAGATAGGAGGGTCATTTTAACAAAACAAATAATTCCTGCAATTTAAATATCATCAAAGATAGGCACTACTGAATCTAAGATGAGAGGCATCTTGCTGTACCAGCAGCTCATCCATTCCACGTGTAACTAGAAAAGTTGTTACAGTCAGTTCTTTACTGAAGTTTACTTTATTTGCATCTTAAGTTCTCATCTCTGCTATACACTATTATTCAGTTCTTCCTGTACTACCAGGCATAAAACACATGGCATTAACCCTCCTGCATTATTTGTTGCTTTATTTTTATCACTGAAGTGGAAAGTCAGCTATTGCAACAATTCCTTGACAAAAAATATTCCTAGCCAGGGAAATCATCAAGATAAGATACTGTATATAATGCACTTAATCATTAACATCACTAAGTTTCCAACCCTGTTCCCACTCAAACACCATGACAGATTTAAGACAACCACATCTGTTTGCTACCTAACCCCATTTTCTTCCAAAACTAGAAAAGCTTCATGGAGAAAGCTAAATGCATCCCCTAGAGAACAAGGGGATTCACATTTACAACAGAAACTTAGGTGAGAGATCCTAGCAACAGTTTAATGAATGAGCACAGCAAAAGACCTCCAGAGCTGCACAACACAATATTTTCAACTTCTTTCTCTGCTTCTAACGACACGTAACCAGATGTACAGGTCATTATTAGTTCAGCTGCACAATTCCAGGTTCCAACCTGACTGACACGGCTCAAAATCCATGTTACAGCAGAGTCAGAGCTAACACTTCAGCATTTGCATTGCACAGCAGCTTATTAAACAACATTCGATATGCCCAGATCTTGACAGACAACATTAATTCCTAACAGACAAAAATTATTTTGTTTATAACCACAGCACTTATTTTTCCCATTTTCCCCCAGATAACAGACAACAGTGGTCAGCATTTTCTCCTGTTTGCACGCTGGGTTCTCACACTAAGCTATACATGATTACGAATTAGTCTATTTGCTTATAGCAGATACAGCTGCCCTAAAACCTTTTTCCAACCTTGTCCTCAGTTGCAGACACATACGTTTCTCTTCGTTCACGCTCTCAAATTTAGACCTGTTCAAAATTAAAATGCCCCTAGTTTTCCAAACATCTAAACAGCCCTCCTTGCATTTCACGCTTACTTAAGACAAGAAATGGTTGGCAAATGCTTTTGACAGAAGTGGTAGCACTCCTCCGTTCTGACCATTTCCAGATTTATTGCTCTGCTTCCCGTTTCTAGGATGACACTGACATCTAGTGGAGTTAATAACCCACGAGGATTCTGAGACAGGGACAAGTATTCCCATAATAAGGGTGAAGAAAAATATATCCATGAAGTCACTACGAAATGCCAGTGCTGAATCCTGACAGACTTTTGGATACCACGCATTTTTGCATGTTCTGCTGCTAAAATTAATGACAAATATATTTAAATTACTTTGTAGGAATTTTAAGAGCTGTAATTTTTAATCAAAATATCGCTCACAAGAGGGGCAGATGAGATGTGATCTGTGAAACGCTGTACTGCCACTCCAAACTCCAAACCCACAATGAGCTTATTTATTCGCTAAAGGCCTACAGATCAAATTTTGGAGTCTCATTAGTTTGGTGGAGTGAGCTACCTCTGGGAAGTAAACACGACAGTGTCTTTGGAATACAAAATATAATTTTTCTCACAATGACAGAGTAGATGCAGCTTTCTACCATGACTGGCGTAGGTACAGCGGCAAGGAACATATATACCAGCCCAAAGGAATGCTATGTTTGTTATAAAAATATTAAAATGGTGTCAAAAGCCTGTTTGCAGCACCATTGTTATACATGCAGCACCATCACAAGTCTTTTGGTAAAACTGCTCAAATAAGGACATAATCAGTCAAAGATTTATTCAGTTTTCCTATGTGCCTAACCTGTCATCAGGAGTCAGGCAAGCTATTTATTACGTTTTGTTTCTCAGGGAAACCAAAACTAGACAGTTTAGGAGGAAACAAAGCCATTTTCATCCCCATCACATCTTTTAGCCCTAGAAAAGACAAGTGAACTGATACTGTGTAGTAATAAAACTGGCAAATAGCTATGTTTTCCACTACTGCACAGGATTCTCCTGGCAAACATCGACTGAGACCTCCTTATAAAGTTCAGACGCTTCATTAAGGAAGCTCAGGGCAGACGTGTTCTTTCGTGCAAGGTCCAGCTTGGGGAGCAGAGGCCCAGTTTTCTCCCTGATCACAGGACGAGGCAAGCTGAAGCAGAGAACCGAGGCAGACCTGTGAATTCAGGTCAAGTGTACCAGAATTCAACCACCAATTCATTTGTTTCACTGAAATTCCCAGTAAATAAATAATTTAGTTTCTGTTTAAGTCCTCAAACGAAGAGCCCCATGGCCGTTCTAAGACGCTTTGCGTTTCAAACCTGTAGATGCATCTCGACACTTTTGTTTGGACGAGACCAGCTCAGCAAGTAGGAAGCTCAGTCCTTCACCACCAAGCACTACTTAAAACACAGCAACGTTGTCTTCCTTGGCTCACTCACCGTGAAAAGGTTGGACCGGCGCTTGGACTGTTTACGGACAGGTGTTGGTGTGTTGGCAGTGGGAGGAACATCAATCCGTAGCTCCTTCTGGCTGGTGCTTGGAGTTGATGGGACAGAGGAGGAATAATCACTTAAACTCCCTCCTCCATTACTGGTCTGCAAGGATTAAAGTTAGTTTTAAACAGTGATACACTGCTTTCAAGAAATTACAATCCACAGCTGTATCTTATTTAGTCCCGATATCCAAAATCGGCACCCTCAGCTCAGGAAAATAGCAGGCCTGCCCTACTGCCACTTTTACACACGTTTCCATTCCAAGCCTTTGAAATGCATATTTTTTTGCTGCCGTTATTTTTGAAAAAGAAAAAACAATTAGGTATTTCTGTTCATATGGCAGGCCCATTTTCATTCTATATAATGTAACCTTAATAGAATAAACAGAATTTCATCTGTTTTATTAGCAGGGCAAGCAATTGTGAAAAGGCTACAAATTATATTTTTCCCATTTTTTAAATTGGCACAGCAAATTCTGCCTCAAACTAAAGAAAAAATATCTAGTGCTACATAACTTTATAGCTGGACTATCCTTGTCCAGAGACAGCAATTCACAGTGAAATAATCAAGAAAATCAAGAGTTCAAAGCTGCGAAACAGCTACTATAACGATAACTAGTTGCTAACAAATCTACAGAGGGCATAACAAACACTGATAGAACAATACAAAACTTTAAAGGAAAATATTCCAATTCGAAGTAGCCAAAATTGTAAAGTTATTGCAAAGTCTCCTAAGAGGCAAATGATAACCACTGAGTACACATATAAAACAACTAATGAAATGATGCAATAACTGACTAACAGCAGAAAGGAGAGGGTAGCAGACAGAAAGGAACAAAATGTGACGAATATCACAAAAGCTTAACTTCATTCTGTACTGGCTAACACAAACTAGCGTTAAAAAAAATAAAAAAGATGCAGAAATAACTTGTAGGGGGAAAAAATGTCCTTTTTTCCCCCATCAGATCCAATGCAAGCTTTGAGGGGGACATTCTCAGTATTTGGTGCTGAGGTGGGGTGAGGATGGAGAGCTCTGAACACCCTGTAGACAACCACATCAGGAGGGGAGCAGCGCGCAAAGCGTCTTGACAACGACTCGAGGTATCATATAAAGGGACAAAAAGGTCTACGATGCTCACAAGAAAGTCAAGGAGTACATCTTGGAATGGCCAGGCTTCCTAACAGAAGTAAGGAGGAGAAGAGAGCATGCTGTCCGGACGTCCGAAGAGAAGTTGCTTAAAAGGAAAAGGAGGAACTTATTTTCCTACCACGGTCCTGCACTGGTGGCTGGTTTTACACACACCTGAAGCTGCCACGGGATGGGAAGGAGATAGTCCTGCTGGAAGGCATCAGCGGGCACCTCGCAAATAAACCTTGGAGACCAGTGTAGGCACCACGGTCAAGTCACCAGTGAAGCAATCCTTCCTCACACCATCCAGTTGAACTTACTTGCTGGGATTTCAACTCTTCTCTTTCAGCCTTTCCAAATTTGTTTCCTCCCCTTCCTTTTTCTCCTCTCCTTTATTTTACTCAAGGAAAGGAAGGTAGAAAGAGGTAAGAAACAAGGAGCTGATGTTTGAGCTAGAAGGCCAATCAATGCTGAGAGAAATACCAGGTACATCAAAGTCACAGTTTCTCCATATATAACAAGATACTCATCTCATTTCTGGATGACAGGATAGGGATTATAACAAGTGAACTTTCTGATGGACAACAAAAAAAAAGAAAAAAAAAGTGGCTGTCAGGAAGCCAGGAAACCTTCTGCATTTTCGAGTGCACAGAGCAAGTTGCAAGCAGAATTTGGAGCTGGCCCAAGACTATAAGACAAAGGAGCTAAAAGAACGAGAGCCGTGACGCCCATTTTTAGTATTCGGTAACACAAGTGAGGAATGAGCAATTCTGCGTGGGAACAAATGACCTTAATTTACCCTGCATTCATTTTCCCTCTCTCTATGGCACCTTGCTGAGATACCAAGTAATGCACTAAACATGTAAGATAGTAAATGACCTGTGTGAAGACAGACACTGAACCTATGGAAATTAGAGATTATCTTTCCAAAGAAACGTAGAAAAAGCTCTCACATTAAAGCAAACGATTCCCCAAAACCACCACAAGATAAAAACATACGTAACCAGGACACTGTTCAAGTGCTTACCAAAAATTCACCCAAGTTCAAACAGCCACAGACTTTGGAAAATCAGTAGACAAAGCACTTGACATAGCAAAGATGAGGAGGGTAGCAGGGGAGCCTTAAAATGCAGCTGACAAAAGTACGTATAGGAATAGGGTAGCTGGAAACTCAACAACTACTAAATAGCGTTTAGAGAAGGAAAGCCAGGAGGCTGGGAGAAGCAAGGAAGAGCTTTCAGATTAGAGCGGAGACCTACTGCCCGCTTCAAAAAGGAGCCCAACTGGAACCGGGGGGAAAATGAAGGGACAGGAAAAATCCAGAGAAAGCAAGCAAGCTTAAGAAGGATCTAAAATATTTAGAATTGAATCCATGCAGTTACAAGTCTTATCACAGGAAGAAAAAAAGATGGTAACGCAATAGGAAAGCTAGAGGAAAGAAGAAAGGTTACACAGAAAGGGCAGGAAAAAGGCAAGAAATGATTCAAGTATTGTAAGTTGGTAGCAGGATTTGAGCCATAGACAGTTGGAAATAAAAGGATACAGCTACATTCCATGACACGACATTGACCAACTTCCCAAATATGTGTCTTTGCATGCATTTCTTTTTGTTAACTAAAAAGAGATAACAGATTTATACTTCAAGCACTCATTTCCCAGACAGAGCATATAAATTAATCCCTCCAATTCTACCTTTTTAATCTTTTGGCGTCTTACAGCATCCTTTCATGCTCATCGTGCTGACATACTGTCTCCCAAATTAAGTGATTTGTTTTCCAGGAGTGAGTAACTCCTAAAGGGAAAGCTGTACACCTACATGTATTTACCGGTGTTAAAGAGATGAAACTCAGCACAGAAGGTCAGGCATTCTAATCCCCAAAGACAGACCCTTGCACAGAACAAGTCCTGCAGGCAATGCCTTCTCTTTGCACATACCTACCCTCCCTGCGTTTCTGACCTTGTAAATAAAAATGACTGCGTGGTTTCAAAAGAAGCCGTATGAAACTCGCTGCCAGGAAAAAGTAAAATCTGTTGCGATAAAAGGCTTCAAAGTGGAAAACTTCAGGATTTCCACAAAACAAAAGGATGGCTACCAATACTTAAAAAAGCTCAAACTCTTACTCAGGGCACCAATGCTTATAGCAAACATATAAAACCATGTGGCTACTCTGAAATGCCGGCATAAAGAGAATGGGTTTGACCAGAACGAGCTCTGACATGACTTTCAAGCTTCAGCCTGCACAGACAGCAGCTATGGAAAACGCAACCAGACAAGTACTTGGAAACCATATTCCTGGTAACATGGGAACCTCGCGCGCTGCTGACAGAAACAAAAGGCTGAGCGGTCTTCGTCGGGCTGTTTGTTTGCACCGGATGAAAATCTAGGGACCGTGCCATATTAAGACCGCAGAAAGCCGTTTCCTGCAATCAATATGCAAGAGTTTAATAACAAGTTCACTGAAGTGAAGTAGGGAGTTTAGGACACATGGCAATAGCTATAATTCACAGAACTTAACATTTGTCCAAAGCCATAAAAATCAAGTCGGTGAATCCGAAGAACAACCTTCCTTCCAGGACATGTTACCCAGCGTGCAACAAATATGAACTCAATTGCCGAGTGTCGACAAATCGGTCAAGTTTGCAGCAATCAAAACCAATCAGATAAGTGCTCAAATACACATGAGAGTATCACACAGCTTCACATTACCTTTTCAATCGAGTTTTTACACTAAGTTGCCCTCAAGAAACGAGCATATCTGAGATACTGGCATAAAGAGCCACTTCTGTGAATCTCTGCTCTTACCAGAATCACGGCAAGGGGGACAAACTCAGGCAAATGAATCCGTGTAGGATACAGAACCATTTATACACCCCTGTTTGGCCTTCTAGAGTGACAGGATTTTCTGACCTTAAGGCAGCAGGTCCATTTTCCAACATGCTAAAAGACTCCTGGACATACTCTGTACAAGTCTATTTTTTTTCATCCTGCCAGGAAGCTAGATGGCCTGATGGTCACTGACCTTCAACACACAGTTACGGATATCTTTCAAAGTCTTTAATTTCAGGGATATACTCATTTCTTGTACATACTTTGTGCAAACTGCCAATAATCCAGTTTAAAAATGTGTACTTTTAGCATCTACATGGGCTTATATCTCCTGCCACAGAGACTGATACTGTAAAAAATTCAAGGAATGAAGTTAAATTCTTAACAAGTATCCCAATATGAAAAGACTCTTCTTGCTCTCTAGAAACAACAGGATATCCTCCAGAGAAATCATCTCTGACCACTGCTTGAGGAGGAATGGATGCAAGGTCTTGCATCTAAAAGGTATAAAGGATATTAAGAGCTTCAGGGAGTCAGTTGGAATAAATTAAGCCATGATCAAAAGCACAAGTTTTATACTGTATGACAATGTGCCTTTGGTTTTAGCATCTTCTGTTTTTGGAGTGAGGAGGGAAAAGCATCTTTCTCCAGTGATATGGAAGTCTCTTGGAAAATGCTCTCATAAGGACACATTTTTCTTCACTAGGTCCTATACAATATTTTTACTGAATGTCCTATTAACTCAGTCTATCATCTGAAAATATTACCATTGGGAGTCCAATTTACTCAAGCCATGTTGGTCATATACAACCACATGTTGTATATTATTTTAGAGGAAACTGTTTACTCCTTGCCTCAGCATAAGAGAGAAATCTTCAAGTGTGCTGCCATGCTACTGCCCCTGTGCCTGGGACACAAAACTGACAGTAGATTTGAAGCATGGGCCTAGGCAAACACTGAGATTTTGGTAAGACTAGCTTTTCCTCAAAACACCAAATAGTCTGCTCTGTTTTCCCACATTAGCACTTTAATCCCATCCTTTAGGACATAGTAGAACTTGGCTCTATCAGAAGCTTTAGCATTTTTCCTCCTTGTAACTGCAAGGTAGAAGACAGAAACAACAGCTAAGGAAAAACAGACAGAGCAC